AGGTGAGTGCAGAAAATACCTGTTCCTTTTTATTGTATCGTGTGTGGCCGTCTATGGGTTATGCCTGCACTGAGCCTGCCAGACTACGCGATAAGGAGAAGACAGAGAACTCAGGACACGGCTGTATTGTCGGGACAAAATATACGGAGCTTCTGCGCAAATATATAGGATGACTAAATGGCCAAATATGGTCGTTCACTTGTTCGTTCGGTACAGCCAATGGCGGTATTCAGATCGTGAACAATCTCAGGCCCGCACGCTGGCCGTATTTTGCTAGGCCGTGTTTGGTACGAGCCGCCAACTCACCTACTTTCCGGACGTGTCGTACCGATGGTGACCTTGGGGATGCGTCACTCTCTGCACATGTACTTTTTCCATGTCTGGGCCCGTCCTGACACTTTATCCTGGCCCCCTGAACAGTACGAATATATTCATTGGTAAAATGTCAAGCCCGTCCCCCCAAATGGGATCGGCAAATTTTAGGAAATTCTTATCCCACCACTCCCCCATAGAGGTCACTTGTTTTCATAAATCAGGAAGCGTTAACACTCTACGGCATGGTATTGGATCCCCTTTCAGCAGGTATTTTTAAGAGCTCTGCTTAGGTTTACAACCTTAAATTGGGCATTCCCAATATTAACAAGTTTGATTGACAGACGAACAGTCCGCTCGAAGATATAACTGCAGACCAATGCAACAAACCATGGGATCTACAATAAAAGTTGAGTTTGACGATGGTTTTGACAGCCTATTCATAAGGTTGCTCAAATCCCTTTGACAGCCCACGGCCAAATGAGGTTGACGGGTGGACTGAGCCTACGTGATGAGCCCGAAAATGGCGAAGCCGGTTGTGGACTGTCGCAAAATTTTCATCAACCTTATGAATATTGTGTTACGTCTAGACAATGTACTGTGATATCTCAAATATCGTACCAACTTTAAACATGAGGTGGCCTGTTACAGCCCGTTTAATTCAGAGAGGCCATTAGAAAAGGAGTGATTCAGTTGGATTCCGTCCAATCCCCATTGTTCAGCTGTAGCACCCTTTGGGTGCCTAACTGCCATGCTACCAGACGGAAGCACGAGGGCTGGGATACCGCCAGGTTGACGTAGCCTGGACACGGGTAGTCGACTGACAGAGGTTGGGTTCAAAACACGGATCTTCCGGCCAGTACATTCGCGCTCCAACCACTGAGCCACCTCGTCCCCATGAATCTCCATGCCAAAACCTAATTCTTGTGGAAACGGGAGAAGTTACTTTCTTTTTTTCGGTTAACGCTCAACACGCTTAGGTGACTGAGTTCAGCCGTCCCGTGAAAGCTAAATGGTGTGGTCAGGAATTCATCCAAATAACCAAAGTTCTTGAGCAATCACGTCCTGAGAAATGAAAAACAGTCTGATCTCTTGAATACGTAATAAAGGCCATTCCGTTTATTTGGGATACTACTAATTTGGCTAATATCAAGCCTCAGCTAATCATTAACTATCACCGAAAAACAGTGCAAAAGCGAGATTTTTACTTCCTATTTTTTTTGGAGATAAATTCGTTGGTCACGTGGTCCGTAGCTTGCACACTCATGGATCGAACTGGCGAATCGTAATGGAGTATTTTGTTTCCGAGTGCCCCATGAAATTGGACTTCCAACGAAAGTTTGTTGTAAACACTCCCGTCTAATCATCCTTTATTCTAAACCAATAGGTCCCACAGAAGACCAATCAACAAGCAGGCTTTTGAAGGCAATTCACTGTTGCTTACGGGGATGTCCGTCATGTCAGTAGTTTAATCTGGCTGCAACCGTCTATTTTGTCGGCACACGAGACTGAGGGGGCGTTAGCTGATCACTGCGGTGTTGGATCACGTTCGACTATCGGAGTGACGGAATTTAGGTTTTATACGCTGAAGAACCAAAAAGCCCTGAAGGAGGTTGAAAGGTGGAAGAGACTTGCTTTTGGATATCTAAATTCCGCGAGCACATAGGGCATAAGTGTTGTCAGTATTAGCCCATTTTGCTTCGCTGCACTCGAGAATCGCGTTTTAGAAAGGGGCAAATAGAGAGAATGACAGGGAGAGCAATACATAATACGTGCAATGATTTACAATGTGATGTGCAAAATACTAAATACTTGACGTAGAGTCCACTTGGATGACACACGAAACTAGGGAAAAGTTTGGTCTCTTGAGAAGGGGCCAGCTGGAGGGACCGTAGTGATCAGGCTTCACGAACAGGAGGGCTTTGGTACACTCTATCATTGGGGATCTTACAATCCTGAAACCACTGCCGGTGAGTGCTGAATGGCTTATTGAGGAGCTAAGCAGCTCCAAGGTATCAGAATTGAAAGCAAAATCTCATTTGCACAGAAATATTGAAAAAGCCTACGTTCTCAATCGTCCATTTCAGCGTTTCCGGACTTTGTTTAAATGTCTAACATCGCTGAACAAACATTGTAGAACGGTACAATAATTTCCAAGTTAACCTACAGTCAGATGCAGGGACGGTCCTTAAACGATGTGAGCAGATACTACTCGCGCGTTCCACCAATAGTACACGTTACTCCACCAGTATTCAGGAAGATGCAGACATATCAGAAGTGTCGTGTAACTTCTAAAATATCTAACCTAGCGCAAAACTAAATGTATTCTGTAGAACCCGGTAGAGTGACAAACAAGTTCCTGTAGAAAACTGTGCTCCAATGCCTACGTTTTTATTCCACTCCGTTGCAAAAACAAAACGGTTTCTTTCAGTGAGCCTGGATAGATTGCTCAGTTCATTTCTTGCCTGGCTGATGTCCACTAAGTAAGCTGTGCTAGGTAGATCAGTGCCAAGTAGGTCGTAAGGTTGACGGAAACTCGGGGACTGCGCGCCTACCTGATGAGCCCCAAGAAGGGCGAGGCCGGTCGTGGGCTGTCGAAGAGTTTTCAGCAACCTTGTGAGTAGTTTCCTTTAAGCTGTGCTAACTTTGTGCACGCTGTCAGTGTGACCTAATCGTATCCTCATCGCTGCGGGTACACATGTGAGTTACATGTAGATAGAATCACGGAGCGCTGTGCTATCCCTTCAAAGGACCAATATCATTGTCACGTTTCGAAGCTATTTGTAAGTCCACGTTGAGAGTATCCAACGCCATGTGTACGACCTCTGCACATTACTTTAGTCAGTCGGAGAAACGCAACTCACTGGTCAGCTCGTAATCAGAACGAGGCCAAGAAGATACAAGTCAGTCCAGTTAGCTAAAGCCATGTGAACCTAAATGGCATAGATCCAGAGCGCAAACCTCGTCACAATCCGAAGGAAGACACACCGAGTGCAACGAAAGACTGGGATTGTTAGCGCTCTCACGTCTTGTCGCACGTGAGTCTGTAAGTAGATAGATTACTATACAAAAGTACACAAACCTGTGGGTGCAGGCCGTCAATCTCTGAAGTGTACCTGAAGCTGGTTCGGACTTTCGCGCTGAGAGTGTGGAGCATTTATCTGTTTAGTTTCTCCCGGCGACCCTCTGCCAAATTGACACTCCAGAAGATTTCTTATTTTGGATTATTGCGCTTGAAGCATAGCAAAGCTGTCTCTTAAGTGTTTGAGAGGATCAGTGGACTCAGGTTACACTTAAAAACATAACAAGCCGATACAATGTGAAGCAAAACATAGCCACTATCAATACGAAGCGTGAACACAGTATCAAGTTATTTTCCAAGGGACTGAGGTAACTACGCAATGACACTTTGAAACCATGGCGTTGTCCGCTGAAAATTCAATCAGAGGGTTAGTGAGTTCTTGAGTTAAGTAGTTGCCCTGGTTAGACCTTCAGTTTGCAGGATATTTTTCAGGACCCTTGGTTCACCCACGGATTCACTGCCAGCCTCGATAGTGTGAACCTTGGCTTTCATATCTATATTCCCCTGATACCCACGGAAGAATGTGGCCTCATTAGGATTGTGTCAAGGTACATAGAACTTTCGTTAGTGTCATGGGGTGGCAGCTGATGAATACGAACGGAAATTATGGGAAGCCCATTAGGTGCATCAGCTTTTCGTTGGTTATTCCTTTGTCCTAAACTACTTATGAGTAGTTTGAGAATACTACAAAGTGGCTCAAGAAGGGTACTTGTTTTCCCGAGTTGCAAAGCATGCGAACTCAAGCGAATTTCTGATAACGCGTTCACCATTTTTCGTAAATGTCTTTGTGTTTTATCGTGGGTGGCCGTCTATGAGTTACGCCTGCACTGAGCCTGCCAGAATACACGATAGGGAGAAGACAGAGAACTCGGGACACGGCTGTGTTGTCAGGACTAAACATACAGAGCGTCTGCGTAAATATATAGGATGACTAGATGGCCAAATATGGTCGTTCACTTGTTCGCTCTGTACAGCCAATGGTGATGTTCCGGTCGTGAACAATTTCAGGCCCACTACGCTGGTCGTATTTTGCTAAGCCGTGTTCGGTGCGAGTCGCCAACTCACCTACTTTCCGGACGTGTCGTACCGATGGAGACCTTGGGGATGCGTCGCTCTCTGCACATGTACTTTTTCCATGTCTGGGCCCGTCCTGGCACTTTGAATAATCATTTCTGAGGTATGTACACCCCCATGCTTAAAACAACAACCAGAGTCACAGTCCCACTTCATCCCTCTCGTCCCAGTGACCGTCTATCCGTCTGGGACTGTGGATTGAAGGTTCACGTTGTCGACTAGTGAGACTGGTTGCTCTGGTCTGAATCTCCTCCACTTCTTTTTATGGGCAAGGAAGATTGAGAACCTTAAAAATCTTGTGATGTAACTTGTGATGCGTAACTGAACGTTTGAGCAACAGCGAGTACCTCATTGATTATGGGGAGGGGGTGGAATACAGGCTTTCCATACCAATTGGTGCCCTAGCTTGACACGTTGTGTCAAGTAGCCTAATGATCAATAGACAGCTTTAAAAGTAATCACGTGATCCGTGCTGGAAGTATTGTCGTGATTGGTGCAATACTGTTCTTACCTAATTGTCTCCGAACTACGAATGGGTGGGTGTTATGATCAAGCAACTTTTCGTTCGAAACTATCTAAATTCATCGGTCTGCGGAACGTCCCAATCGTTCGAGCGTGCATTGCGGAATTTTGCGGGACGGCGATGATGATCATCTATGGTTGTGGGGTGCTTGCTCAGGTAAAATTGGGGAAAAAACATGGTAAAGAGCACGGAGATTTCCTTTCTGTGAGTTGGAATTGGGGTCTGGCGGTCACACTGGGAGTATTCTTTGCAGGTGGCAACGGCCACGGCCTCATCAATCCTGCGGTTACTTTGGGTTTCGCAATTATAGGGAAAATACCGTGGATTCGAGTTCCTTTCTACACATTTGCTCAAATATTTGGCGCATTCTTTGGTGCCATGTTGGTCTACGGGGTGAATGCGGAAAATATAAACTACTATAGCGAGGTTCACGACAATGGAATGCGTTTGGTGAATACCACTGGCGACATATTTGTCACTAACCCCTGGGTGTCAACATTCAACTGTTTTTTCGATCAGACTTTGGGAACTGCACTGCTCACTGCTGGCGCACTTGCGATTGTTGAAAAAGAGACCTGGAACGTACCCGATCATCTTCACCCACTCTATCTTGGACTGCTGGTGTTTTCTCTTGTTGGGGCCTATGCTCTCAACGCAGGCTGTGCTTTGAATCCAGCTAGAGACCTTGGCCCTCGGCTAATGATTTTGGCATTTGGTAAGTCATCGACGTGGCCTTAAGCGTCATTTCATGAGCTTGGTTTCACTGAAGCAATTGTTCGGTTGTTGCTGTAGTTTCTTTACAGTCCTGTAAGAAACATGTCATTTACCAGGATGGTAACCCTGTGACGCTGACTGCAGGCTACTAAGGAAGAACGTACTGTTGTCCTGGTGCCCAGAGGTGTGTTGAACGATACGGAGCAAGTTGTATGAAGCTGGGACATATCAGACTTGACTTTTGGCGGAAATATCACATACATTACATACCTGTGGAGAACTTAACAGGTTCTTCTCAAGGGCTTGGATAGATCACGAAAGCTTCTCAGAATAATGAGATAGAAATCGATTCTTGTTTTCTGTTTGTAGTCCTTGAGCATTTTACATCATTATCATCGTGATCATCATCATCATCATTGGCAGCATGACATCAGTGTTCAACGCCGATGCTTCGCTGCCGTGCAACCATGATTTATCTGGAAGACTTATTGTGAAGAAAAGAATAAAGGCGGACGGAGAGGGGACTTAGTGCTACCTTACTACAGTCATTTCGAGCTGCCATGTCTTTCAACACTTCCAGCGAAGCCAACGGGGGATCTTGTAGACCCCATCCTGGAAGATGAGCAGAACCAACAAGATACCACAAAATCTCGAATATCAGTTGAGTTGAACCATTCTGGGTGACCTCATCAGTGCATCGCTCCGTCCATCGCACCTCAAGACCACTGGAGGCACCAGCACCAGCATTCGGTTTAACGTGAAACAAGCATTGGCTCTCCTAAGTTTCCACTATTTGTATCTTCACCGCCCCGTCACGAAGAGACTGGATCCGTCACG